TGAACCAGCAACCCAGGTAGGTGCCCTTGACCAAGAATCGAACCCACAACCCTTCCATAGCCCCTGCTCTAACAACTGAGCCACACCCACTAGGGCCCCATGTAAATTTTTAATGCTTATTTACCAACATGGGGTGGTTCAACTCTTCTCCACCCACAGGAACAGTCAAGGCGCCGTTGGTGCTCCCAGGACATCCCAGCTTACGTGGGGCTTTATCACAGAGTGAATTCAATACAGAGGATCACTTTAATGGGGTTGAAAGTCTGAGAATGCAAAAGGGAAGCACAGAGGTAACAGCTGCTGGAACAAAAGGGGTCAGGGGTCTCAAGCATCTGAGGAGAGGGCACCCCCGAAGCTGCTGGACCCGCAGACACTCAGGGAGGTAGCCTTGAGTCCCAACTGTGTGGCTTGAGCAATTTACCGAAATTTTCTGTTCCTCAGTTTGCCCTCTGGTAAGTGGGACAGTGGTTACTTTTGTGAGGTCACTGAAAGAACTGAGTGAGTTTAATTCAAGCTTGGTGCTCAGAACCTGGGAACTGGGCCTGGCGGTTTCGTGCTACGTGAAGTGTTAGCTACTTTTGCCCATTGAGAATGAAAACCCTTTTTGCAGAGAATTTTCTTACACAGGGACTCCCACCAGGGGCGATTCAGCCTCCCCAGGGGACACTGGGCCCTGCCTGGAGACATTTTTGGTTGTTAGGACTGGGAGGGAGGGAGGATCGAGTGCGTGGAGGCCAGGGATGTTATGATGCACAGGACAGTTGCCTATCACAAAAAAAGACCTGGTGCCACATGCCTGCTCCCCAGCCACCCTCTGATCTAAGGATGTTTGTGCTGAGCCTCAGAACCTCTCTTCTGCCCTGGCTGTTTTTGCTCAGTGGTTAGAGCATTGGCCTTCGGTCCAGGGACCCAGGTTCGGTTCCCGCTAAGGGCACCTACCTCGGTTGCAGTTTGTTCCCGGCCCTGGTTGGGTCATGTGGGTGGCAGCCACTCGATGTGTCCCTTTCACGTCGATGTTTTCTCTCTCTCTCTGTCTTCCTCTCTCTCCCTCCCACTCTATCTGAACAAAAAATAGAAAAATGTCCTCGGGTGCGGATAAAAAAAAAAAAAAAAAAAAACCCCTTCCCTTTCTCACCCCTCCCCCTCCACCACCCTCTCCCTTGTCATCCTGGGCCTGAGTCAGAGAGAGAAGATCAAAGGAAACACCTCAACTCCCTCTACCCTTGTCTCCTCCCCAAGTCTGAAGCTGGACTGGGGCCACCAGGGCATCCGATTTCTGGCCAGGGGAGAGGGGACGCAGGTCTGGCGTCAGGGGGCAGCTGGGGACGCTCTGGGGATACTGAAGGCTGTTTATATCTCTCTTGACCCCAATCCTGTCTGTTTGTCCCGTATGTCCCATTCCAAGGGCTGGGTCTTCATCTCCTTCCCCACATCCCTCCCTCTAGGCAGAGCCTTGTCTGATCTTTCTGGCAAATCTGATTGCCCTCTTAACTGGGGCATGTATGACCTCCACTGGTCACTCAACCTGCAGGTGAGGCCTGCCTTGGAGTTAACAGCCCCACTCCACTCCCATAGGACTTTTTTTGTTTTTTTTTAATCTTCACCTAAGAATATGTTTATTGCTGAGAGAGAGAGAGAGAGAGATCCATTGGTTGCCTCTTATTCTTGTCCTGACCAGGGTTGTATGGGAGGACACTCCAACCAACTGGGCCAACTGGCCATAAGATATTTTTTCCATTTTTTAGAGAGAGTGGAGAGGAGGTAGTGAGGTGGAGAGGGAGAGAGGGAGGGAGGGAGGGAGGAGGGGACAGAGAGAGAGAGAAACATCTATGTGAGAGAGACACATCGATTAGTTGCCTTCCACATTCACCCTGCACTGGGGATTGAACCTGCAACCCAGGTATGAGCCCTTGACTGGGAATTGAATCTGTGACCCGTTGGTCCATGGGCCAACACTCTAACCATCAAACCATTCCAGCCAGGGTTCCCATTGTACTTTTTATGGGACCCTCCCATTCTCTCAGAACCCTCCCTTAAATCCTCAGTGAACTGGGGGTAAAGTCCTGACTCCTTATCTGCCATTCAATCACCCTTATGGGTTTCTCCAGCTGAAGCCCTGACCCTGGGGCACTGAGAGGGTCCAGCTCTGTCCTGATCCCTCAGACTAGGGGCTTCAAATATTTAGGACTCCAGCATTGCTCAGCATGAGGCCAGATCCACAGAATGAATGAGTCCATGAATAAATTAATGAATAAATGACATGACTCCAGGGCAGCTCCCCAGCTTAGTCTCAGGGTCAGGGGCGGTTTTGTTTCTGCCTTCCTCACAGTCAGAGCCAGGAAACAGCTGGCTCCAACAGGACCGGAACCCAGCAATGTGCTGGGGCTTCTTCCTCTTGCTGGTTCTGTGGGTTGTCTCAAGGGGCTTCAGGGATGATCCTTTGGGTTCCTGCCCCACACAGGAAGCTGATAGAAGAGTGAACACTGAGCCACCTTTTCTTGTTCATGTGGACCCTCCCCTGCCAGGGAATAAATAACTCAAAGATATTGTTGGTCCCGTGTTGCTCAGCCCTCTGGCAAGGGATGCTAGTCTGAGCCTCAGTTTTCTCATCTGGAAAATGGACATGAAGTGATGTAAAATTTCCTAGGGGTGTCATGGGATGAAAGGAGGCAAGGAATGGAAATAAAAAGATTAGGCTAATATTTTTAGAAGTTGTCTTTCATTTCTCTTAGCAAAATCTAAAGGGAGTTTGACTTGCAGGAAGGAAAGAATTGAGGTGGTTTTTTTTTTATCCTCACCTGAGGACATTTTTACATTTTTTGTTCAGATAGAGCGGGAGGGAGAGAGAGAGAGAGAGACAGAGAGAGACAGAGACAGAGAGAAAGAGAGAGAAACATCGATGTGAAAGGGACATGTGAAAGGGACACATCGAGTGGCTGCCACCCGCATGACCCAAGGCTAGGGACAAACTGCAACCAAGGTACATGCCCTTAGCGGGAACTGAACCTGGGTCTCTCTGGACCACAGGCCAATGCTCTAACCGCTGAGCCAAACCAGCCAGGGCAGAATTGAGGTTTTTATCTTTTCTTATCCCTTTATCCCCTTTAAAGCAGTCTATCTTTATCTCCCCTCTTCTTCTGGTAGATTCTCTTGAGCTCTCTTGACCCCATCCACACCCATTTTTCAGACCCTTTTCATAAAGAATGTGTGTTTTGGTGGATGATCTATGTCAGTGTGGGAGCTGGTCTGGGTACCCTTTGAGCAGCCTGAGCCTCAAGTTTATAAGCGGGTTCCTATCTGTTTTCCAATTTCTGCCTGAATTTCTGATTTTCTGCCTGTATTTTCAATTATTTGACAGGTATTTATTTTTATTAAATTTATTGTTGTGACATTGGTAATAACATTATATAAATATTAAGTGTACAACTTTGTAATCTGACATCTGTGTACTCCATTGTGTGCTCACCATCGGAAATCTAATCTTATTACCTCACCATGTATTTTACCCACTTCACCCTCTTTGTCTCCCCCAACACCCTTCCCTCTGGTAACCAACATTCTGTTATTTTAGATATTACTTGAGTTCCTACTATGTGCCAGGCATTGCTGGACACAATGCAGTGACTTAAGACTGTCCTGGTCTCTACCTCCATGTAGATCACAATCCCGTGGGGCAGACCATTAGAGCTGGGAGGGGGAGAGAGCAGATGTCAGGGTTGTGATGGGGCAACACAGGGCACTGTGGGAGCCCAGAGTAATAACTGACAGGGGCCCCGGGGTGCTGAGAAGGCTTTCTGGCTGGGCATACTAAGAGCTGAAACTTCTATCACTTTTTTAAAAATTAATTAATTAATTAATTTTTGTTACAGATGTTTCTCCTTTCCCCCCCAATGACACCCTCCTTCCCCCATTGACACTCTCCTCCCCGCTCCCGTCCCCGCCCCTTCTATCACTTTTAAGATACTCGTTCTACAGCTGGGGGGACTGAGGACCCACGAAGTTAAGAGGCCTGCTCTGGACCCCATGATTTTGGCCATGCAGGTTTAAAACCACTGCTGGAGGAGGCCTGGAGGCCAGGGCAACAGGGGCGGGGGGGAACTACAGCCAACGTTTGTTGGGACTTGAAACCGCTCGTGTGGTGACCAAGTCTGGGAGGACAGGGTGGGGAGGGGTCCAGAGCCCTGGCCTCCCGAATGCATGCACCTGACTCCCGCTGTCAGGTGAGCACTGTGTGCCCCTGAACACCCTGTCTGTTATTTGGGCGTGTTTCTGGCAGGTGAAATAGGAGAGACTTGCTCCGCCCTCGCCCAGCTGGGATGAGTAAATCCACGTGGGGTGCTTGGCACAGTCGGCGCTCATTAAATGCCAGCTGGTGTTATTATGATGCTTATCCCCATTATTATCCTTAATAACTAATTAATTAGAACTAATGCGTCCTCTCCGCGTTCAAATGGGTGTCTCCCGGCCGGGAAGTCACCGGACCCCGTGGAGAGGTGATCTGGGTGTCAGACCTCCCCTCAACACACGCCCCAGTCCACCCCGTTCTCCCCAGTTCACATTAGGCCTGGTACAGTTGTGGGCAGGTTGGTGTAGCACGGACCTGGCAGCTGGAGTCTGGGTGGGGGCGACCCTTGCATCACCCCCAACTTCCGAGCTGAGGGGTCCCACAAACCCAGCGATTGTAGAGCACTAGGACCACGCGGCTCCGTCGGCGCCGGGTGTGTAGGCGGAGCTAACCTCGAGACCACGCCCGTCTCCCTAATTATTGGCTCTCCAGACCCGGTATGCGGCCCCGATTGGCGGAGGAGACCGCTGCTCCCGGGATGCTCCGCCCCGCCCGGACCGCAGTCTCGGGTCCACCGGCTCCGCCGCCCCAGGCGCGCTCAGCGGGGCAGACGGGTGGATGCAGTAGGTGTCGGGGAGAGAGGGTTTCCCGCGGTCGGGTCCAGGGCCCCGCTTGTGGCGCACCCGACGGCCCAGCCCGAGCTCGGAGCCCCGCCATGGGTCCGGGGCCCCCGGCGGCCGGAGCTGGGGCGCCCCCGCGGCCGCTGTCGCTGGTGGCGCGGCTGAGCTACGCCGTGGGCCACTTCCTCAACGACCTGTGCGCGTCCATGTGGTTCACCTACCTGCTGCTCTACCTGCACTCGGTGCGCGCCTACAGCTCGCGGGGCGCCGGCCTGCTGCTGCTGCTCGGCCAGGTGGCCGATGGCCTCTGCACGCCCCTCGTGGGCTACGAGACCGACCGCGCCGCTGGCCGCTGCGCCCGCTGCGGGCCTCGCAAGGCCTGGCACCTGGTTGGTAAGTCGCGGCCGACCCTCCCTCATTCATCTGCCTGTCCACTGCCCCCGGTGGCCTGAGCCTCCCCTCTGTGTCTGCACCAGGGCCTGAGCCAGCCTCTCTGCTTAACTGCCCTGCCCTGCTCTGTCTCTCTGTCCCAAGGCCTGAACCTGTCCGCGTTGTCAGTCACATGACCTGAGCCGCCTCCTCTGTCCGCACCATGTCCTGAGCCTCCCTGCTCTGTCAGCCTCATGGCTGCTGTCTGACCCGCCAGGCCCCCTTCATCTGACTGTTGGTATGACCCTCCAGAGTCGCTTCTCATTGTCTGACCCCTGGGGGCTTCCTGAACCATCTTCAAGTTGGGTCTGACTGCCCAGCACTTCCTCTGTCAATCTGGCTAGTATGGTTTGACCTCTCCATCTCTCTCTCTGGGTGACCACCAGGACAACTCGGTCTGAGTGAGGGTCAGACTGTCTGGAGCCCTCTGTCTGTCCATTTCCCCAGTGCTCTCTGTCCATTCCCTCCCCCATCTCAAGTAACCCGGGGCTTGGATGTTTTGGGGGAGCTGCCCTGGCAGCTGAGAGGTGGGAGTGGGTGAGACAGAAGGGTCAGGGGTCTGTGCCTGACTAATGGAGATGGGGTCTGCAGGGCAGGTAATGGGGTCACCCTCTGGTATGGGGCCTTTGCCCTCCTGGAGGGCTGTTGAGGAGGGTAGGTGGCAGGTCTGAGGGTTGGGGTGCCCTGCCCTGTGTGTACTGATGATAAGGCCAGCTTCCATGTGTCCCTTCTCTATCCACCCAGGCCCTGAGCTTTGAGATTAGCCCTGGGCACTTGCCCTGCTATTTCTCCCCTGGCACGGGTGCCCACTACATCCTGGCGTTGTGGGTCCACCGGGCATTTCAGGGGGCAGGGCTAGGAATCCTACCACTCGGGGAGTTCTGGGCAGCAGGTTTCTAGAAGGCAGGAGGGGGTTATCGGTTTCTTCTTGTCCTTGGGAACAATGATGGGGGAGACAGTGATTTGCCCCAGGCCCCTGTGAGTGACATTTTCACAAGGTGCAGCAGATCTCCGAGTGACCTGAGGGTGGCTGGCATTACTGTGGCCACATCTTGTGGCTGGATTTCATTCAGGTTTGTCAGGTCTGAGGTTGCCCTGGCTGTTCTCGGACCACTTTAGACTGCAGGGCAATCAGACTAGTGATTGTATCATTTGAAAATGGACATTTGAGGTGTCCCTCTTTTGGGTGATGTTGGGTTTGCTTGCAGAGCTGACCCCAGAGTCTCAAAGGCAGCTTTGTTTGTAATAGTAGGGTCAACTCACTGACATGCAAACAAGGTAGAGAGATTTGTGGGGTGGGGGGGAGGGCTCATTTTAGGGGAGACTTTTCCAAGGAGATGGAACTTGTGCTGGGAAGGTAGCCCTGGAAGAGGGCACTGCATGTGCAAAGTACCTGAAGTGGGACCTGTTACCAGCTCGGAGCCTCCAGGCCTTACTCTGCTCCTTTCATAGGTGGGAGGCCTAGGGCTCAGTGAGGGTCTCACCTGACCCCAGAAAGAACTGATTCCCTCTGCAGAAGTGGGGGATAGGGGGGCTGGAGACACTTTTAATAGAGTATGAGGGAGGGAGGGAGAGAGAGAGAGAAACGTCGATGAGAGAGAGCCACATCAATTGGTTGCCTCCCAGATGACCCCGACTGGGGCCAGGAATTGAAACTGCAACTGAGGTATGTGCCCTTGACTGGGAATGGAACCCGTGATTCTTTGGTCTGAGTGCTGACGCTCTAACCACTGAGCAACCGGCCAGGGCTGAAGATGCTTTTGTAAATAAAGAACCAAAGGCCCAGCCAGTGTGACTCAGTGGTTGAGCATTGACCCATGGACCGAGAGGTCACAGGTTTGATTCTCAGTCGGGGCACATGCCCAGAAGAGGCGTGCAGGAGGCAGCCAATCGGTGCTCATTGACGTTTCTCTCTCTTTCTCCCTCTTCCTCTCCCTCTCTCTGAATCAATAAAAACATATTTTTAAAAAATGAAAGGTTTGGCCCTGGCCAGTTTGGCTCAGTGGTTAAAGCATCGGCCCGCGGTCCCGAGAGACCTGGGTTCGGTTCTCGATAAGGGCACATGCCTCGGTTGCAGTTTGTCCCCGGCCCTGGTTGGGGGTCGTATGGGTGGCGACCACTTGATGTGTTCCTTTTATGTAGATGTTTCTCTCTCTCTCTCTCCTTCCCACTCTATCTGAACAAAATATCAAAAAATGTTCTCAGGTGAGGATAAAAAAATAAAAAATAAAAATAAATAAATTTTAAAAATGAAGGGTTTGTGTTTATGCAAAATAGGCCTGGGGAATGGGTACCCCCACCAGACACCGAGGTCTCTACCTGTACCCTTTTCCCATCTTTAGGTGGAGGATCTGTGGGGAGAGGAAGCTGGCGTGGCCCCTCGTAATGCCTGATAAGGTGACTTGAGCGAAGGTCACCCTGGCAACCGTGCCCACTTCTCTATTTTTCCCTGAGTCTGTGGAGGTGGTGGTGAACTCACTCTTTCCTTTAACAAGCCCTCCCAACTTCCCACTCTAGCCTAGAGAGGACCGTCAAAGCTAGACATGGACACTCCTGTGGGGGTCCAGACTGCGGTAGGTCCATGGACTGGGCTTTCTAAGAAAGAAGCAGAGCTCTAGCAGACAGGACATTGCCTTTGGGTAATGAGGGGTAAATAGGAGTGTGTGTATGTGCATGAGGGGGTACATTCCAAGTAGTTGAAAGGGTTTGTGCAAAGGTGTGAAATATCATGGCTTTGAAGATGCTGAGGTGTAGTAGGAGCTCCCACTTTCACATATTAACTCTCAATTCTCACATCTCCCTTAGGAAGCAGGTTTTCCATTTTCTGGAAACTGAGGCCCCTAGATGCAAAGTCACATGGCCAAGGTCTCCCAGCCAGGCAGCTAGTTCTGACAATGGTTAACTGGCCTGGGCAGAAGCAGGATGGAGTCCACTCAGGGCGGCACATTCTTCTGACCAGAGTTTGCAATTGGTGCCTGACCTGAATTTGCCCAGGATGTCCCTCCCAGTTCCAGAGAAAGAGACTGGTTTTGGTTTCATTTCCTAAATGGGGAGATGCCCAAGGTCTGGGGATGAGGTCATCTCTGGAGCCTGGGGGAAGAAGGAAGTCCAGCTGCCAGACTCCGTCCATGCACAGGGATGGGAGGAAAAGTGACTTAGACAGACTTGGGACCCACCCCAACAGGGCCCACAGTCTGGTGGGATAGGCAAGCAGGAAACAAGCAAACAGACAAAAGAATTCCTGAGTGTGCTGAGGGGTGAGAGGAAAAGAAAGCAAGGTCCAAACCAGAGTGTGTTGAGGGGACTGTTGGTGACTGAGCTGGTCAGGGAGGGCTTCTTTGAGGAGTTGGCATTTGAGTTGAGTCCTGAGAGATTAAAAGAAGAGCATTCCAGGCAGAGGGCACAGCATGTGCAAAGGTCCTGAGGCAGGACCATGCCTGGTGTGTTGGAGGAACAGCAAGGAGCCCTATATGGGTGGAGTAGAGTGAGCAAAGCATAGAAGAGGAGGAGAATGTGTGGGCAGGGAGGGGACGGGGGCAGGTTGTACAGGGCCTTGTGGGCCTCAGGGGGACTTGGGCTTGTTCTGAGATATTGGAATATTTACTAGGGAGAGGTCCTCTTGTGAGCTGATGGGGACTCTGGCTCTTGTGGAGGACAGGGTTCAGCATTATCTGGCCTCCTGACTCCTGGTGGCCTACAGGATCCTTGATAGGAGCTGGGGAGGAAAAGGCTTGCTCCCTGGCAAGACAGGAATGGGAAGTTGTGGGTATAAATGGTATGTCTGTAGTGGGTGGTTTTCCAGAAGACCCTACAGCATTCTTTCAACCTCCTTTGTGACCTCAGGTGCTCTGTGCTTCAGTTTCCCCACATGTCATCGGGGCAACCCCAGGGAACCCTGGACTGGCATGGGGAAACCCCATTCTTGCTCCCTCTTATGACCTAGTCATATGTCGGGGTCCTGCCTGCTCACTTGTTACAGCGTGTGATCTCAAGACCACATCCGCATACCCTGTGTCTCCACTGGAAAAAAAGGAGCAAATAGATTGAATTGGTGGGTAGAGGCCTGGCCCCTCTGTCCTGTTTGGCTGTGTGACTTCTGGGGGACCCCAAATCCATCTTTCTCAGTTTCCCCATTTGTCACAGGGGCCATAAGCCTGGGGTGCCCTGGGATGCTTATCCCACACACCCCACTGTGTGATTTTGGGAGAGTCTCTAGCCTTTTCTGTGTCTAATTTTGTTCCCACCTGGTCACACCCCAGGGAGCCCTGGGCCACTGTTGGGAAGGTCTGGCGATGTGACCTTCTGCTCTGCCCATCCACAGGCACCACCTGCGTCCTGCTCTCCTTCCCCTTCATCTTCAGTCCCTGCCTGGGCTGTGGGGCAACCACACCTGAGTGGGCCGCCCTGCTCTACTACGGGCCCTTTATTGTCATCTTCCAGTTTGGCTGGGCTGCTACACAGATTGCCCACCTCAGCCTCATCCCCGAGCTCATCACCAATGACCATGAGAAGGTGGAGCTCACGGCTCTCAGGTACCACCTTGGTGGGGCAGGGTTGGGAGGGCACATGCTCAGCAGGTGAGGACAGGAGACCCAGGGCCACACCCTCTGCATGGTCTCTGCCTATGTTGCTCTGGGACTCTCAGCCCCTGTGTATACATCTGTAACACAGTATGCCAGTCACCTGCTGCTGTTTGCATAACGAATGACCACAAAGCAGCTTCAAACAGCATGCACTTATCATGTCATGGTTTTTATGAGTTAAGAGGCTGTCTCAGCTTAGCTGGGTTTTGTGTTTCAGTGTCTGTCTCAAGACTTCAATCAAGGTGTTGGCTAGGGCTGCCCTCATCTGAGACTTGGGGTCCCTCTACCCTGCTCATGTAGTTGGTGGCAGAATTCATTTTTTCTTTCTTTCTTTCAGTTGATTTTTAGAGAGAGAGAGAAACATTGATGTGAGAGGGAAACACTGATGAGCTATCTCCTGCATGTCCCCTACTGGGGATCAAGCCCACATCCTGGGCATGTGCCCTAAGAATCAAACTGGGACCTCTCAGTCCGTGGGATGACACCAATCCACTGAGCCACACTGGCCAGGCTGGGGTAGCGTCTTTGTTGAGAGTCTTCCCTGTCGCCAACTCAGCCTGTTTGGCCCCAGTCTGGTCTCCTCCCCACCCCTGCCTTTGACTAAGTTCCCCTTTATGACCAAGAGCTGCAGGCACTAATGACGGGTTGCTCAATGCCCAGGCCCCCGAGGGCCCCAGATGTTAGGGGACAGGCTAGGCCAGGTCAAGCTCTTGCGCGCTTTCTACCTGCAAGTGCTTTATTGCCAACCTTGTGTCATCTTCACTGTGACCCCTGGGAGTAGTCTAGTTCTTTATTTATTTAAAAAATTTTTTTCCTTTATTGATTTTAGAGAGAGGAAGGGAGAGGGAGAGAGAGACATCGATGAGAAAGAACATGGATTGGCTGCCTTCTACATGCCCCTCACTGGGGATTGGGCCCACAACCTGGGCATGTGCCCTGACCAGGAATCGAAACCAGGGACTTCTTGGTACGTGGATCAAGGCTCAACCACTGAGCCACAGCTGCCAGGCTTGTTCTCACTTTTAGAAAGGGAAACAGAACTGGTGAGATCCAGAGGTTGCCCCTTCCCAGCCCCTGGAGCAGTGGTTTTCAACCTTCCTAATGCCACGGCCCTTTAATACAGTTCATGTTGTGGTGACCCCCAACCATAAAATTATTTTTGTTGCTACTTCATAACAGTAATTTTGCTACTGTTATGTCTTAGGCGACCCCTGTGAAAGGGTCGTTCGACCCCCAAAGGGTGCGACCCACAGGTTGAGAACTGCTGCCCTGGGGGGACATCTCTCCTGGGCTGCAGGCAGGAGCAGACCCAGACGATTCTAGACCTTGCCCTGCTGAAGCCCAGGATTTTGGTGCCAAGAATTCCAGAACCCTGGTTTCTGAGCATCTTGGGTTCTCAGACTTTGGTTGCAGCCCTGACTTTGGGCCCTACTTACTGAGTCTCTGTATCCCAGCCCCCATCATGGTGGTTGAGGGTTAGTTGTAAATCATCAGATAATGTATAGGCTGGTTAAGCTGGGGCCATCAGGGGCTTCCCTGGGGCCACCCAAGATTTGGTGGCTGAAATCACCCTCGGCCAGAGGTTCCCCAGATGCCACAAACAGCTCTCACTGTGTGGCTGCAAGGGAGAAAGTGGCCATGTGGTTTCCAGGGCTGTCACGCTAAGGCCTCATCTGTCCCCTCCAGGTATGCCTTCACTGTGGTTGCCAACATCACTGTCTATGGTGCCGCCTGGCTCCTGCTCCACCTGCAGGCCTCTCTGCACATGGGGCCCACCCAGGATATCAGTGACCAGCTGGGGGTCCAAGATGTGCCAGTGTTTCGGGTGAGCTGGGGCTGGGGTGGGGGGGTAAGGATGCTGCTGGCAGGATGGGTCATCCCCTCAGGCCCTGAACTTGAGGTTTGGGCCATAAGAGCCACTGCTAACACCTCTTCTGCTGGATCCCCAGAACCTCTCCCTATTGGTGGTGGGCATTGGAGCCATCTTCTCACTGCTGTTCCACCTGGGCACCAGGGAGGGGCGCAGGCAGCTGGTGGAGGAGCCAGATGAACACAGTCCTTTGTTGGCCCCCACCACGGCCCGCCCGTTGCTGCTCTGGAAACACTGGCTTCGGCAGCCATCCTTTTACCAGGTATGTCGGGGGGGACAGAGCATGCTGGAGTGGATGCCTGTCTCCCACCTGGCCCTTACTCTGGAGCTGCAGGCAGGATGGTTAATAAGTGAACAAACAGTCCGGCCGGTGTAGCTCAGCGGTTGAGTGTTACCCCATGCACCCAGAGGTTGCTGGTTCGATTCCCAATTAGGACACCTGCCCAGCTTGTGGGCCAAATCCCCAGTGGAGGACATGCAGGAGATGACCAATCAATGTTCTCTCTCATCGGTGTTTCTATCTCTCTCCCTCTCTCACTTCCTCTCTTTCTAAAATCAATAAAGGAAAAAAATAAAATAAAAAATGTTAAAAAAAAAAATAGATGAGCAAACAGCTCATTTCACAGGCAGGGCAGAAATTCCTTATCAATTACTACTCTCTTCTCTACCTGACCAGCTATGGTCATTAATAAAGGGTCAAGTGAGAGCTGCAGCTAGGCCCTCAGTGTCCCCTGCTGGTAGGAGTGGAAAAGGGCCTTCTAACCCCTGAACCAGTCCCTCTTTCTGCCCATAGGTGGGCTTGCTGTACATGAGCACAAGGCTCATCGTGAACCTGTCCCAGACGTACATGGCCATGTACCTCACCTACTCCCTCAACCTGCCTAAGGTGAGCTAGGTAGGGTGGGCCAGGGCCGTGGGGTGGGTCCTGAGTCCAAGGAGCCCCACCTGAAACACCCATATCCACTCTGCCCCAACAGAAATTCATTGCCACCATCCCGCTGGTGATGTATCTCAGCGGCTTCTTCTCCTCCTTCCTCATGAACCCAGTCAACAAGTGGATCGGGAGGAATGTGAGTGTGTGGGTTGCTGGGGGACAGTGGGGGGACACCACAGATAACAACCCTTAGAACTAGATGTACAGAACCCAGGTGATTCCGTACCTCAGCCTCCATACCTTGTAGGTGCCCCATGTCTCAAACCCATGTTCTAGAACCCCTGAGTATCTTGGGGCTGCAGAGCTCTAGAAATTTCTGTGCTGACCAATGTGTCAGTCAGGATGGCTGTTAAGTACTTGAAATGTGGCAGGCATGACTGAAGAACTGAATGTTTCATTTTAATTGATTTGCACTTAAGATGTAAGTCTCTCGAATGTCAGCTCTCAGGTGAGGTCAGAGCTAGGGGCTCCTTAGGGTTGGGGTTGGGAGTAGTGGTGGATTAAAGACCAGGGAGGACAAGCGCCAGGCTAGAAGCTGCACAGTGAGGTGGGCCTGATGCTGGTTTCCCCTGCAGATGACTTACTTTGTGGGCCTCCTGGTGATCCTGGTCTTTGCAGCCTGGGTGGCACTGGCAGATGGGCTGGGTGTGGCTGTGTATGCGGCAGCTGTGCTGCTGGGCACGGGCTGTGCCACCATCCTTGTCACCTCACTGGCCATGACAGCCGACCTCATTGGCCCCCACACGGTAGGGCTGGTGGGCAGGGCCGGGTGGGGGTTGGGGCCCAGGGCCCAGGCCATGGGTGCTGATCCCCGTCTGTGTCCACCCCCCAGCACAGCGGAGCCTTTGTGTATGGTGCCATGAGCTTCTCGGATAAGGTAGCCAATGGACTGGCAGTCATGATCATCCAGAGCCTGTACCCATGTTCGTGAGTGTGACTCATTTGTTAGCACATTTAACAAGAGCATACTGAGTGTGTGCTATGTGCCGGGTGCTGTTCAGGTCTAGGGTATTGGGGGAATGTGAGGAGGCAGTGTTACAGGGGAGCCAGACTCTGTCACTCAGACCCTCAGAACCTGGGGTTTCAGACCTGGATGATTCTAAATCACCAATTTCTCACCTTATAGAAGCCCAGGATCTGGGAACCAGAACCAGCCTGGTCCTTTGTTGTCATAGAGTTGGGGGAAATACTAGCCATGTTAATCACAGGAAAAAATGTGTGATCTAGACCAGTGGCTAGGGGTGTGAGACACACCACAGGAGGCCGGATTGGTACAGGGGGTCAGGGAGGACTTACTTGGGGAAGTGACATTGGTCTTGAGACCTGGTGGGTATGTGAGTTCTGGGCAAATGGGGAGGAATAGCCAGTGCAAAGGCTCTGGGGCAGGACCAGGCCTGGTGTGTTGGAAGACAACCGTGGAGACCCATGTAGCTGGAGCAGAGTGAAGGAAGGGGAGAGAGAGTGGGGAGAGGTTGGAGGCAAGTCATGCAGAGCCTTGTAGAGGACTTGAAAGCCCTGGAAGGCTGTGGGCACAGGAGGGGAGGCCTGACTCAGATGTTCAAAGGCGCCCTCTCGTGGCTGCCTCTGGAAGGTGAGGGCTGGAGCCTGGGGACCAGGGCAGAGGCATCTACACTGGTCCAGGTGGAGGTAGAGGAGGGGAGAGCAGTGAGCAGAATCAGGATAGACTTTGAAGGCATAGCTTGAAAAAAGCGGGTCGAGAGTGACCCCCAAGTTCTGGTCTGAGTTCTGAGAAAGATGGGGCTGCCCAAAGCTGAGGTGGGAGGTCCAGGCTGAGACTGGAGGTTCCCCACAAATGTCAGCTCACCTGTTATTCTCCTCCTACCCCAGCTCAGAGCTCTGCTGTGGGGCCTGTGTAGGCTTCTACCACTGGGTGATGGTGGCTGTGACAGGCGGCGTAGGCGTGGCCGCCACCCTCTTTCTATGCAGTCTCCTCATCTGGCCCATCCGCCTGCGGAGCTGTGAGTTGTAGACACCCTGCTTCATTCCCAACCTGACCTTGGGTGGGAGGGCTGGGCAGGCCCTATGTTCACTAACCCCACCCCTACCCCTCTCTTGCAGGAGCTCCTGGAGCCTAAGCCCTGCTCCTCAGGTCCCCACCCTCTCCCCTTCCTTGCCTGGCTGCAGGGATGGTGTGTGAGGACAGGATGGCTGGACCCCATCAGCTCATCTCCGCTGGGCGAGGCACATAGCTAGGCCCTCTGGTATCGGGCTCATGGGTCTTCATGGGTTTGCGGGTGCCTAAGCCTAACTCTAATGAATAACTTGGGGTGCCCTCGCTATGTTGCATGAGGGCAGGATGCGAAGGGTCTGGGGCCCAGGGGCTGCCTCAAGCTCAGCCCCAGCTCCACCTCACCTCTGGCCCAGCTGAGGTCTCCAGGGTGCTGCTGACAGTGAATAAAGAGCCGCTCACTGTGAGGACTGGCCTCGGCTGTCTGCCTGGGCCTGGGATGGGGAGGGCAGCAGGGTGCCTGCTTGGCCCCTGTTCTGGTTGCTGGGGTCTTGGCTGGTAAGTCCCTTTACCTGACCTACCAGTGCGCCAGTCCCCAGATGTGGACAGACACCTGAGGAAAGGCACGGTGTCCCCAAAAAGGGATGGTCTTTATCAGACAGTGGGCATGTAGATGGGTTGGGACTGCTGGCCAGTAGATGGGCAGTAGGGTTCCAGGTCCCACTGCCTGTAGTTCTGGGCTGTGTAGCGCGGACGCTGCGGTGCTGACAGGTAGGGCACGTAGTCTGACAGCTGCCCCAGTGGTTCCACTCCGTATTGGTGCCTGTTGACCACTGTGAGGTAGGACCCAGGTCACCTCCTGGCTTCAACTTCCTGGATCCAGGCAGTTTTACCCCCACCCCTTGGCCCCTGTGATGCCAGCCTCACCATATTCCTTGCCCCAGATGGGTCTGTCTTTCCACAGCATGGTTCCCCACCGAGTGCTGGGGGCCTTGTACTGGGTGGGCATGATAGGGTCATACCAGGCGGTCTCCTGGAGGTGCTGGGTGTAGGCTGCAGGGAGAGTGGAGGAGAAAGTAATCTCTGGCCCTTACCCTCCCCTTGGGGCTGGCCTGGGGTGGCCAGGCACTCACCTGAGGGCATGCTGTGCTTCCGGTGGCTGTAGCATCCATGCCAGAGGGCATAAGCCTCTCGGTAGGGGCTGTCCAGGGCCCTTGGGAGCATGTACCAGGCTTCACGGGAGTCCGAGTTGGTTAGGCCGGTGTACCACAGCTGGCCGGCTGAGTCACGTCCCATGGGTGTGTACTTCCATCGAACTGCCTGTTTGATGGCTGGTGCCCAGCAGGGCCCCTCCAGGGACAAGTAGTCATCACTAAGGGTGGGGGGAGGGGACAGATGCTAAGACTGTGACTGTCCCCTGCCCCTTCCTGGGCCACTGCTTGCCCATCTCTAGAAAGGGTCTTTTACTTCACTGGCCCACACTGTGGAAGGCCTTCCTCCATCTCCACTTGGCCATGTGTCCTTCAGCACTGGACACACCTGCCCAGGCTGGCAGAGGAGTGAGATGTTCCCTCCTCTTTGCCACATCCTCCCCAGGACCCTCACTAGACCTTTCACCTTTTCTTGCCTCCCCTCCAAGGGGCACCAGGGAGCAGGGATGTGAAAGCTCTGGTCACTCTTGGGGTCCTAAATCCTTGTCCAGCCTCCCAAATATACAGGCCCTTCCTCTAGGAAGCCCTTTGGCCTGAAGGCACACGAGGAGGAAGTGGTCTCAGCTTACTGAGTATCCCAGAGAGAGCATGTGGGGGTGCTCAGGTTCCTGGGAAGACCCTCTGGGGATGACCCTTGTGTCATCATCCACCCAGTCATCAGGGACCAACTGGGAGTGAAGACAAGCTTATATTGAAAGGACAAACTATGCCCAGCTGGTGTGGTTCAGTGCATTGCACATCATCCTGTGGACTGAGAAGTCCTGGTTCGATTCCTGGTCAGGGCACATGCCTGGGTTGTAGGCTTGATCCCCAGTAGCGGGTGTGCAGGTGGCGACCGATCTATGTTTTTCTCACATGGATGTTTCTATCTCTCTCCCTCTCTAAAAAGTCAATAAAAACATATTTTTAAAAAAAGCAAACCCTCAATGAAGTGCCATTAAAATAAAAACAAAAGCAGAGTCCTGGCCTGCTAGGTCCGTTGGTTAGTGCGTTGTCCCTATATAAGGTTGGGGATTTGATCCCTGGTCAGGCCACATACAAGAATCAACCAATTAATGCATAAATAAGTGGAACAGCAAATCAATGTTTCTCTCTCCCCGCTTCCTCTCTACAATTAAAAAAAAAGAAAAGCAGAAAAAAAAACCAAAGCTGTTTACATGAAGCTGCAGGTAAACTTGCTTAAGCAGAAACCTGAAATGTCAATTCCTTCTGAAATGCATCCTAATAGCACCATTGCCGTAGAGACAAAGATGTACATGAGCTCCCTTCTGGAAAATCACCCATGAATGAGACTGGCTGCCCCAAGATGGTCCCAGCAGGGCCACTGACAAAACGCTTTATCTCTACCATGCACAGAGAACCTGGCTGAGTTCTCACTCCAGGAGCATCAAAACTAGAAATGCATGTCTCATAAAAGGTGGGATGAGCCTGGTCGGTTCTGGAACTTCAGACTCAGGAACCTGCTACAGACTGGATTTGTCCCCCAAAGGGATATTTAAAGGTCACCTAGGGTGCCCCATGCCCCCTTTTAAAAACTTCGATTTCAGAGAGAGAGAAACATCGATTGGCTGCCTCCTGCATGCACCCCACTGGGGATCAGGCCCACAACCTGGGCATGTGCCCTGATCAGGAATCAAACCGGCAACCTCTTGGTACATGGGTCAACACTCAACCACTGAGCCACTGTGGCTGGGCTGCCCCCACCCTTTTGAAACAAGATTTCTGAACTCCAAAATGCACATGGTTTATAAAATGCAATTAAAACACTCTAATGTACTCTGGCTGGTTTGACTTGGTGGTTAGAGCATCATCCTGGGGACCAAAGGGTCATGGTTTTGATTCCTGGTCAAGGGGCATGTTCCTGGGTTGCAGGTTTGACCCCTGGTCCCCACTCATAGAGGCAACCAATCAATGTCTCTCTCACATCAGTGTTTCTCTCTCCCTCCCTTCTTTCTTCCCACTGTATCTAAAAAAAAAAATCAATGGAAAAATATTCTTGGGTGAGGACTGACAAAAACAAACCCACTCTACTGTAACATACAATGAACAGTTGAGTATCCCTTACTCTAGCTGCCACTTTGATTTCTTCCGCCTTCCAGAAGCAGGCAGTAGGAGCATGTGTCCCTACTAGTACAGAAATGGGGAACTTGCTACACTCAGTTTCACATCATTTTTTTCTCTTGCAAATGGAGTAGCACAAAGGGCACTCATCTATTTTTTTGTTTTTTTTTCAGCTGCAGAGTAATAACATTAAAACACTTACTAATGGGTACTCTACTGGGTTGAGTGTCCCTCACAATATGGTCATCTGGAACCTCAGAACATAAACTTATTTTGAAATAGGGACTTAGCAGATAGAATTCGTTAAGATGAGGTCATAGTGGAGTAGGGTGGGCCCTGGTGTCTGTAAGGAGAGGGCAATCTGGACACACATAGGATATCACATGATGGAAACAAGGATGGGGTGATGTGTCTGCAAGCCAAGGGACACCAAGAATTGCCAGTAAACTACCAGAACCTAGGAGAAAATGGAACAGATTCTCCCTTCCCAGTCTCAGAACTAGCCTTACTGACACCCTAATCTGGGACTTCTGGCCTCCAGGACTAGGAGAGAATAAATTTCTGGTGTTTTCAGCTGCCCAGTGTGTGGTGTTCTGTTAACAGCACTCCCACAAAACTCCTAGATACTTACTTTCTCAGTTTGCTGTGTGTGTGTGTGTGTGTGTGTGTGTGTGTGTTATGCCCACAGTGAGCCACACCCCTGCCAGTCTCCAAGCCGGCCTTGCTCTGACCACTGACAGGGAGAAGGGAACCCAGGTGCAGGTGGGTGGGAGATGCAAGAAGCAATTGAGGGTGTAGCACCAAGGTGTCTTTTATGAATTAGACACTCAGAAAAAGCTAAATCAAATCCCATCACATGACCCAGAGAGGCTGTATCTAGAGATAGGGTGGGCACTCACCTGTAGAGAGGTGCTGGGAAATCCTCTTCAAGGGTCCCCTGGGGGACATAGGGCTGGAGAGCCTCCTGCCTCAGGGTCTGCATGTCTGCCTCTGGGTTCCTGGGTGCTCTTGCCTAAAAGTCCTGTGAGGCCATTGTTGACAGCAACAAAGGCCATCCTCTGTGTCCTGGCAATGCTGCTGGTGACCGTGGCTCCCATCCAGGCCACTCCCTCCCACCCCAGCTGAGGGGCTGAAGGAAGGAGGTGGGGCCACATCTGGGTGGCTTGGGGCTCAGAGCTTCCCCGGCCCCCTCCCCACATCCCACATAGGGGTCTCTGAGCCAAAGGGAGCTTCTGACGCTTAGGCCGGACTGCCAGTCCCCAACCCCTCCCTTCTTACCCAACCCGATCCAGTCCTTCATGTTTCCAATACATCTGAGCAAAAACCTGCAGATGTTCATAGCAGCATGATTCACAACCAGAAAGTAGAAACAACCCAAATACCCATCAACTGAATAAACAAAACATGATCCATCCATACGCTAGAATATTACTCAGCCATGAAAAGGAGTGAAGCATTGACACTTGCTACAATGCAAATGGACCTTGAACGCATGATGCTCAGTGAGAGAAACCAGACACTAAAAACCATGTAGTATATGATTCTATTTATGCAAAATGTCCAGAACAGGCAAATCCAGAGACAGAAAGTGGGTTTGTAATTGCCAGGGGCTGTGGGTGACTGCTAATAGAGATGTGGGGGTTTTTTGGGTGATGGAAATGTTTTGGAATTAGAGGTGCTGCTTGCACATTGTGAATACACCAAATGCCACTGAAATGTTCAGTTTAAGAAGGTCAACAGTAAGTTATGTATATTCTACCAGTTAAAAAGGAATAAAATCCAGAATCTACCTCCCTTTTACCACCTCTACCTGGGTGTCCAGTCACATCACTAGCCTGGAAGAGCCTCCCCTGTGGCCTCTGCACCCCAGCACCAGTAGTCAGGTCTTCATACAGCAATATTTTTCCTTCTCAACTTAGTAGACCCAGGTCCTTCTCACAGCCTACCCACAAGGCCCTGCAAAACCTCCCGGACCTCTCTGCCCTCACTCACATCCCTCTTCCTTCTTGCTCATCTGCTCCTGCCACAAGGTACCTCCTCACTGTTCCTTCAACACACCAGAAGCTTTGGACCTTCGACCTTCCTGCCTTGGACCTTTGCACAGGCTGGAAAGTTCTCTGCCCAGGTGTCTCCTGCTTTTCTTGGAGCCCTTGCTCAAACATCTGGTTTGTAGCAAGCCCTGGATTCAAAGCTGTCCTTTCCTAAAGCTTCCTACCTCCGTTACAAAGCACCCCCACACACACACCCAACAGCTCCATGAGAGCAGGTCTTGGGATCTGGTCTGTTTTGTTGTCTTCTGAGCCTAAAACAGGCATCTTCTCCTGGAGGGGAGGGCCTGGGGTGTGCCACCAGTCATGGGCTGCTGCAAGGTTAGTTGGTCTGTCCTGAGCTCTCAGGGCCTAACTGCTGCCCTGGTCTTTGCCTCACCCTTAACTCCCTTTTCCATTTACTGAAAAAGCTACATTCAATAATCAGAGGACACCTGACAGACTGTGCCCCACCCCACCCTTCAACCTTGCCTAAGTGTGGATGCTGGTGGGTGATGCCCCTGCTGCTGACTTTGGTCATCTCTCAGGTAGAGGTGGCAGCAGTGCCTGCCCTGCCCGAGGGCTCCCATGCAGCCTGCCCCCCTGGCCGACCCCCTCCCCATTGCATGTGGAGACCACCACCACCCCAGCGCTGTGGGCACCTCTTCCCCAGCTGGGCTGTAAGAACTGGCATGAGTGCATGTCACCCTCACCCCCACTAGACTATGAAGTCAGGGACACTGGCATCCCTTAAAGAAAGCTCAACCAGGGCAGGCTGCTCACCAGTTTGTGAGACCCCAGCCAGGAACCAGACAGATGGACAGCCAGCCCTAGATGTGCACGAGCGCACACTGGTTTAATGACAATGATACTGCACGAGATGAGAAGCAAGGCTTGCTCTGCAGCCCACCAGATTGCAGGCAGGGGAACACACACTTCGCACCCTCTATTGTCTCACTCCAGGCACGGGTCCTACACACAAAGCCAGCTCCTGGGCTCTTTGGAAGCTGCACAGGGTAAGGATGCAGTAGGGAAGAATTGTTTTCTTATTTAAAAAAAGACTCAAACGAAAATAAGATGTTGACCAATCGAAATACACACATCTATGTACACTGTCATTGCTTGAGGCTGTGGCACGCAGATGCTGGGATGGGGCAGGGGAGGCGGGATCCCATCCTTCCCCAAGTCCAAACAGGTTCAGCTGATGGCCCCTCCTAAATGAAGGCTTTAAAAGCTATGACCTCGGTCACCCCCAGGCATAGTAGGTGGGCCATGCCCCTCCCCAGCTAGCCTTAAACATTTCTGAGACCAATCTACAAAACATAAACCCAAAGTCACAAATACATATATACACATGCACAAGCATGGCCGATTATGGGGGAAACACTAAAGGAGTGGGGCCTCGAAGCAGAGCCAGAGTGATCCCCACCCTGCTCTGCCCAGTCCACTTCCTGTCATTGTCCTCCATTCTGAGGGGGAGGGGGAGTGCTCAGGCCCCTGGTCACACCTGGGTTCACCTCTCCCTCCAACTTCTCCAGGCCTGGAAGTGAGGTGGTGCCAAGGTACAGCTTGGGCAGAGGATGACAGGGTGGAGGCAGGGTCAGGGGAAACCTGGAAAGCTTCTGGGGGACCAGTGGTTGCCCCCTCCTTTGCTCTCCTCCCTGGCTTCCCTATGGCCATAGGCACAGTTGGACAGGACACAATATGGCCTGATGGGGAAGGAGCCGGGGAGGAGGTTGAGGCACCACCTTTAGGTCACCTTAGATCTGTATACCCAGCAAGCCCCAGGAATCATAGTCCCGCTGGTAACAGAGCTCAGCTGCGACCTTGCTAGAGACAAGGACAGTGCAGGGTCAGGGCAAGCATGTGATGACGAGTGGACCACACTTCAGTTCTCCTCAAACAAGTCCATCTCATGATGATCTCCTCTGGTGCACAACCTGCCTGGGGCCCGCTCCTGATGCCTGGCCCCTAGCAAAGTCACTGGGATGGCTGCCAGCACAGGGGCAGCAGAGGTGGCTGCAGAGAGACCTATCAGGAATGTCCTGTGGATCCATGGGCTGACCTGAACCATCCTACTGCTGGGCCCTCCCCTGGCTGACCAGCTTGGCATCCAGCTGCTTGTCCTGTCACAGGCGTGGGTGGTGGCAGCAGCGGTGAACCCATGCTTCCGGGAAGAGCATGCAGCCCAACAAAGTGATGATGGACACAAAGGGAAGCAGGTGGGGGTCCAGGGAGGCGTCCATCCCCTTCGGAGCGAAGACTGTCAGAGCTGGGGCCACAGGGCCACAGGGCCACCTGATGTGAAGGGAGCCAGAGCCCCAAGTGCCTGCTGGTGCCCAAAGACATCCCCACCCTAAACACCGCTGACAGGGTTCGCAATCAGGCTTTAATGAGAATCTTCAGGGTCTCTCTGGGCCCGGCTCCCCGCCCACCCCAATCGCTTCCTCTGGGGACCTGTGCAGGGAGGTAGGGTCATGCACGTGATGACAGGTGGTGCTCCTCAGCCCTGATGGCTCAGCCCATGGTTTACCGGATCCTGGTGAAGAGGTTGAGGACAGACACAGATTCCTGCAGGGCACATAGGAGAGAAAGCTGAGCCCCCAGCTGGAGGTGAACAGCTTTGGGCCAGAGGAGGAGCATGAATAGGCACCATTGTTCCCTGGTGCCCTGGCTGGGTACAGAGCGATGCAGGATTAGAAAGAGGGTTGGGGGGGGGGTGTCACAGGGGGAAGTTATAGCAGAGTTTGGTGAACAGGGCTGTTCGGGTGGCAATGGGGGCTGGCCCCCAGGATAGGCTGAGCGAATATGCATGGGGAACACATGGTGCTGATACCGACCCACTTTACCTTTGTTGAACGGGTTTTGCTAAAGACATTCCAGAACCTCAGGGTTTCGTCTCCAGCACCAGTGACAATGGCCTCTCCATCAGGGGACATGGCCTGCAGAAGGAGACTTTCCTTGTCCTTGTGCCTTGCAGTTGGCCCCATGGATGGAGCCAATGATGGAGGGTGGAATGCAGGGGGGCTGGGCACCCAACAAAGCCAAAACACAGGACACCCCAGCCCCCACACAGGGAGATAGGTCTATTCTGTGCACTTGGACAAAGGATGCAACAATTTGAGCACAGAACATTTCTTCTGGAGAGAAAGAAAAACACCTGAGCCTCGGCCTGAATACCAGGGGTTGCAGGTTTGATCCCCGGCCCTGGTCGGGGTTGTGAGAGAGGCAACCAGTTGATGTTTCTCTCTCTCTCTTTCGCTCCCTCCCTTCCACTTTATCTAAAAATTAATGGATGCCCTGGCCAATTTGTCTCGGTGGTTAGAGCATCGGCTGATGGACCAAAGTCTCTGGTTCAAATACGGTCAAGGGCATGTACCTCAGTTGTGGTCTGATCCCTGGCCCTGGCTGGAGTGGTGAGAGAGGCAGCCAATTGATGCGTCTCTCTCACATCGATGTTCCACCCCCCCCCACACACATCATCTCCTTCCCTCCCTCCCTCCCACTCTATCTGAAAAGCAATGGAAAAATATCCTTGGGTGAGGATTTAAAAAAAGAAAGAAAAACACTTGAGGAGGGACTGTGAGGAGGGGCTCTTATCCCTAGGCCTGTGCAAATAGGTATCTGGTAAACCGTCCTCAGATTTTCTGAGTAGTTGGATGGAGAGTCTCAGTAGGGCACAGCTGCCCTTCCTCACAGGGCTGAGGAGTTCAAAAAGTAGATTCAAGTGATGACATGACCAACATTTGAAAGCAGAACACAGGAGCTGGCCTGGATAACCCACCCCCCATCCCACAGGTCCAGGTAGGGGAGGCTGCCAGCTGGAGCTGCACCCCATCTTCCCAGGGACCCTGTGCTGGGTCTGGGACCTGCCAGTACAGACTCACCAGGTACAGAACCCGGTAGGAGTGCCCGGTCAACTTGGCCACCTGGGTCAGAGACGGGTACTTCCAGACCAGGATCTGGTTCTGTGAGTAGCCGTGTGTGCTAACCTGATGGATGGAAAAGGCACTGTCAGAACATAGGGCTCCCCTCCCACGACCCCAGGGCTTCAGACACAAGCCGTTAACTCCCCCTGATGTACCCACTGAAGAACAAGGACACCTGGACCCGCCTGGCCCCTTGCCCCCAAACTCTGATTGATGATGACAGGGAGCTACACTGCACCCAGAGCTCAGCCAGCCTCTCCTGGTGGTCAGTACGCATGGATGCCCAGATTAGGGGTGGGCACTTCCAGACTGACCTGGGTGGCAGTGGCCTGGCTTCACCCCAGGACCCCAGGGAAGGCCTCACCAGGGTCCAGGGCTCCTGCTCCCACACCTTCTTGTGCACACCACAAGGGCCCTGCCATGGCACTCACCAACTCGTTGGCATGCTTGGACCAGGCCAGGTTGCACACCTGGGAGCCTGTGTCAATGCACTGCAGTGGCTGCCCTGTGAGTGTGTTCCAGAAGCGGATGCAGCGGTCAGCCGTGCCACCGCCGGATGCCAGCAGCCCATGCTGGTGTGGGGACCAGGCTATGGCCTTCACAGCTGCCAGGTGCTCCGTGTACTGCTGCACAGGACTCAGGCTTGAGTGATTCCAGACCAATAGCTGAGGGTGGGGCGGTGTAGCAGCTGTGAGGCCCCCAGCAGGGGAAGATGAATGGCCTTACTCCGACCCATCATGGTCCTCCCTCAGGGCACACCTTGTCACCCCTGTTCTATGGATAAGGGCCGACCAGGCAGGTGGGATAATCTGGAGGCCAGAACAGTGAGGGGCCCAGGGCATCTACCTTGTTGTCGTTGCCTCCTGAGGCGAGGAGCTGGTGGTCTGTGGACCACTTGAGCCCACACACCTCCTGCCGGTGGCCCTGTAGCCGCCGCTCTGACTGCAGGGGCGGGGTGCGGATGTCCCTTTGCAGAATCATGCGATCCCGACTTCCAGATGAGAGCTGGTCAGCGTTCCAGGCCAGTGCCCCTGAAGACCAGGCAGAACATAGGGTGAAGCCAAGGCCTGGTCTCTTGGAAACAGAGTGCACTGGGAATCATCGCATCCTCGTGCCTAGAATCACTCCCGCCCACTGGGATCACACCCACCCACCAGTACCCTGAGCTCCTCACCAACACGTGCTGTGTGGCCTTCTAGCATGGAGAGCTTCTTCCCTGCAGCTGCATCCCAGATCTGCACGAAGCCCTTGTGCGTGCCAACGGCCACCAGGTTGCCCTAGGACCAAGGACCCAGGCAAGAGCAGGCATCAGGTCCAGGTGTGAGGACCCAGCTTCCCTGGGTTCTCCCCTGCCCCCTCCTTGCTACAGGGCCTTGGGGCCATTTCTTTGAAAGATCTTCAACGTATGTCCCTTCAGATCAAGGTGATACCCACCCTGTCCCGGAACTTCCTGGGGAGATAGTCACACAGTGCATGTATTTGTCAAAATCTAGCCCACACACACTTAAGACCCATGCATTTTAATGTGTAGACTCATCTGTCTAAGCCTGGGCTGCTCTCTGGCTGGGGTGGGGCATGGGGGGTGGAGCTCTGCGGGGGCTGTGGGCAACCCTGTGTCTCTGTGGTGGGAGACTTGTCAACTACCCTATCACTGTAATGGTCTCTACCAGACTGGGGACAAGTGAGGGGCAGACATTACCCTGGGGCTTGGATAAGACCACTAGGCTAGATTCTGGTTACTCTGGGTTTCCCAGGCCTCCAAACACTGTAGAGGGCCCTTGCCAAGCAAGACCCAGTCAGACCTCCCCTGCCCAGCCTTGCTCAACCAGAGAACAAGCCCTGTATACTAACCCGCTCAGACCAGCCTACAGAGGTCACTGAGTCCCCTTCCACAGAGAGGTCACAGAGCCGCGTCACCTGAGGGAAGGAAGGAACAGTTGGTGTGAGCTGACATGCTGCCTGCTGATCCTTCAAGGCCCCAACCATCCATTCATCCATCCATTCATTCATCCATTCAGTCTCACCTCAGGTATTTGGGCACTGGTGTCAGTGCTAGGACCTGAGATAATGATGCTGGGGTGCCGAGGAGGCTGCAAGGGGACACATGTCAGCACAGAGTTGAGTGACTACAAAGTCTAGGGAGGGATGCTCAGGTGACAAGGGCATCACACAGATGCATCACACATCTGGGGGGTGCTTCCAACAGGTGGAAGCTCTCTCTAGGGGGCATCATCTTCTTTTGAACTCACTTGCATTAATCTCTGAAAAAGTCCCACCCTGGTGGGTAGTGCCTGAGCCCATGGTGGGCCTAGCAGCAGCTCAGTTAGTGCTGAGGGTGGGGTGGGGCAGTCCCCAGGCTCAGTCAGGCCCCAACACCCATCTCCCCTCCTCTGCAGACATGGGCAGAGGCCAAACTTAGGCAAGGGGCAAGGACTATCAACCATCACAGGAGACAGCCCACAGCAGGAAGGGCACAGGGACCTCCACTCACACCTGTTGACAATTCATGAGTTCTAGTCTGCACTTGGAGAGTAGGTCTCAGGGGTAAGAGGGCAGCCAGGTGCTACCCTGAGCTCTGGAGTACCCAACTACACTCACTCATCCTTCACATGGGACGGTCTTGCTCAGCTACCAGAGGGATCAACCCCATACCCAAGGCACACACACATGCCAGCACTTGCACTTTGCAGTACCCACCTGGCTGGTACAGGCGCTCCATAGATACACGCAGGTGCCCAGTCCCACACTGAGCACATTGAGAGATGACCAGTCCACCAGGTTCAGGTAGAAGTCGTCCTGCAACTCAGGTGCATCCAGAACCTTGAAGGGGATCTTAGAGATCTTGCGGGTGGGTTTTCGTGGTGACCGCAATAACTTCTGACTGTAGGGAGAGCCCGAGACGGTGATTTTCTGTCAATCAGCCACGTGGTTATCATTACTCTTTGGCTTATGTTACTATCCTTGGTTCACATTAGTTCTTGGCATATCTCCTCCCACTCATCCTGTCCCTTAGCCCACATGATCCCAAATCTGTGGGTGACCCTATGGATACAAGGCCCTTTTCTCTTGGGAGTTTGGCCATGCCAAGACTTGACAGCCATTACATCCCCTCTGCTTGGTAACTCCTCCAGAGAGCCCTCCATGACTCCCTGTTCCCTAGTCTGGACCCAAGGACTTCAGGCTGACAGTGTGCCCCAGTAAGGGGTCCTAGGACTAATTACAGCTCTCATGTACTGTCCGGCTGGTCACCCTGCCCTCTACCCACCCTTGAAGACTTGGACTCACCTCTTATTGCTAACTGGTGACAAGGAGTAGGGAGACACATCATTGCCGTCATCAGGGCTTGAGCGCTTGGTACTGAGGGAATACTGGAAGTAGGGGAACATACCCACTGAGGACACTGTAGTCCCAGAGCTTAGGAACCTCAGACTCAAAGCCTGGGTACCCTGAGCTCCTGGTGGTTGAGTGGGAGGGTGGGGCCTGGTACTCGCTCTAACCAGGAGGACCTCTAACTGGGGATGTCCTGGGTTCCAGGAACTCAGGGAAGCAAACCAGGACTTCTCTCAGCAATGACTGCTAGCATGCTACTGCCCCCTCACAGCCACCTTGAGGGACCGAAGCCAGGCTCTTTTCAACACTGCCAGGGGCCCCCATGACCCAGGATGGTGTGCACATGTTCTGTGGGGTGGTTCTGCTGAGGCCACTGCTCCTTCACCCAGTACCCACCTCAGCAGGTACCCAGGAGAGCCACAGGGTAAGCCTCGGGGTTAAGGGGGCCTGGCCCTGCCTTCTCCTGACTTCTCTGGGGTTAAGGCCCCCAGTAGGGCTGGTGCATGGAGGAGAAGGAACCCAGGGAGGCTGAGATTGGTGTTCTGGAGGAGCCTCCACACAGCATGGGAGGCCAGGGATGAGGGCTGAACCTGGATCAGTCATGGAGAATAGGGACCTCTATCCTCAGCAGGAAGCATCGGTCTGTATGGGCATAACTGGCAGGCTCACCGTGAACAGGCCTTTCTTCTCGGGCGTGGAAGGCTGCAGCCTGCGGTCCTCTGTCTGCGGGTCCTGCACCTTCTCAATGCCAGCCCCTAGCAGCTCATTCTTCAGCAAGGCTGAGTAGGCTAGGCCATCTGCAGGCACCAAACATATTGAGAGGCCAGATTGGGACCAGGCGAGGGGGTGAAAGAGGGTGTCTGGGGCCCTGACTCCTGACCTTTGCCATTGTCCGAGGTGGCATCCTTGGCTTTCCGGTTCTGGCTGGGAGACTTTTCATTTTCCTGCATGAGAGGGAGGGAGAGGAAGGAGGCGTGAGCCGGAATGGCCTGGCCCCGCTCTCGGCCTCGGAGTCAGTGGTCCTTCTCCCCCAACCCTCCCTGTCCTCTGCCCTCACATTGATCCTGTGGAAATTTACACTCCAGTTGGCGCCGGCTCTTGAGGGGATGAAGCGGTCCCCATGCTTGCTGGGGGAAGACACAGGGGAGTTGGTAGGCGTCAGGGTCCGCCGTATCTCCGAGACCTAAAAGGATAGAAGGGTGGGGTTGGGTGCTTCAGAACCCTCAGCCTGATGCACTTGGCCTCTGGCCACTGAAAGAGGGGTTCAATCTTGGAAACCCAAGGGGCAGAGGTAAAAAATTTGGGTAAATAACTCACATGCTGGACCCTGATGGCAGTCCTGTGAGGCAGAAAGAGGTCAGGAAGAGACAAAGCCCGAGGCATTAGCACTTTACAAAGAGGCTTTATTTATTTGTAAGCGATCACAAGAAACAGAAAATTGTAAGTTTATTCCTTGAGCACTGAGAACTTGTTGCCCCATCACCCCCATTTCCTGCACACGGGGATCTTCTCCCATAGAACAATAACCCAACCATCTGAACTTAGACATGAAGGCGGGTGCATAGCTTCCAGCTAAGCCTCTGATCACACTTGACTGTCTGGTGAATGTCCTTAATCTATATGCAATCTGCTGTGGGCTAACTGTGACCCCCAAAAGCATGTGTTGAAGTCCTAACCCCTGGTTCCTGGGATGTAACCTTACTCAAAAATAGTCTGTAGATTAAATAAAGTTAAAATGAGGCCATAATGAAGTAGAGTGGGTTCTAAAATGAATGGCTGGTGACCTTATGAGAGTCAGAGACACTGACACAGAAAAGTGAGGCAGAAACTAAAGTAATGGGTCTAACAGCCAAGGAATGCCAGCCAAACCAGAAGCTGGAAGAGACGGGAAGGATCCTCCCCATGCCCATTAGCTCTGCCATCCCTGCCCCATAGGCTCCTGGATCCTAGTACCCTGCATAGGTTGTAGGGAAGGAGCTGAACCCTAGCTTCAAGATGTTGGGCTCTTCACTGCCCCGTTGGGAATATAGGAAGGTGGCTCACATTTCCTCATCCCCCATAGTCAGTCCTGACTATGGCCCCAAGGGAAGGGCCAGTGCCCCTTGCAGACCGGGCAGCACAGGCCTTGTAAAGAATAAGAGGCCTCTTATGCCAGTACCAGGCCGTTTTGATTACAATGGCTTTGTAGTACAACCTAATATCTAGTATTGTGATCCCTCCTACTTTGTTCTTCTTTTTCTAGATTACTGTGGCTATTTGGGGTCTTTTTTGGTTCCAAATACACTTTTGAAGTTTTTGTTCCAGTTGTGTAAAATATGTCTTTGGTATTTTAATGGAGGTTGCACTGAATCTATAGATTGCTTTGGGTAGTATGGATATTTTATTTTATTTTTAAAATTTTTTTCTTTATTGATTTTAGAGAGAGAGGAAGAAAGAGGGAGAGAGAGATAGAAACATCGATGAGAGAGAACATCGATTGGCCACCTCCTGCATGTTCCCCACTGGGGATCTGGCCCACGACCTGGGCATGTGCCCTGACCGGGAATCAAACAGGCAACCTCTTAGTGCATGGGTCAATGCTCAACCACTGAGCCACACCGGCCAGGCAGTATGGACATTTTAATAATGTTAATTCTTCCAATGTATGAACAGGGTATATGCAACTTCACTAATCATCAGAGAGATGCAAATTAAAATGACTATGAGGTATCACCTCATACCTGCCAGAATGGCTGCCATCAACAAATCACCAAACAACAAGTGCTGGCAAGGGTATGGAGAAAAGGGGACTCTAGTCCACTGCTGGTGAGAATGCAGACTGGTACAGCCGCTATGGAGATCAATATAGTGTTTCCTCAAAAAAATTAAAAATTGAACTGTCACCTGACCCAGTGATCCCACTTCTACGAGTATATTCTAAGAAGCCTGAAACACCAATCAGAAAGAATATATGTACCCTATGTTCATAGCAGCACTATTTACAATAGCTAAGATCTGAAAACAGCCCAAATGTCCATCAATAGATGAGTGGATAAACAAGTTGTGGTATATTTACACAATGGAACACTATGCAGCTGTAAGAAAGAAAGATCTCTTATTCTTTGAGACAACATGGAGGGACCTAGAGAGTATTATGCTAAGCGAAATAAATCAATCAGAGAAAGATAAATACCACATGATCTCACTTATTTGTGGAATATAATGAACAAAAAAAGCTGATGAACAAAACAGACCCAGAGGCATAGAAAGGAGTATGGTTCAGAATGACAAACTTCAGAGGAGGGGGGCAGGAGTGAGGGATGAGATTAACCAAAGAACTTATATGCATGGATGTGTAACCAATGGACATAGACAACAATGCTCGGGGGGAGGGGAAATAAGGAGGGTAGGGGGGTGGGGGGGAAAGGAGAAACATCTGCAACAAAAATAAATTAATGAAAAAAACAAAAAAAAGAATAAGGGGCCTCTGGCAGGAGGAGAAGTGCACTGAAACACTGGCAGGAATTCACACCGAGGTGTCACTGTGGCGCTGTCATGAGGGAGTTCAGGAGGATATATTTTTCACCTTCATGGCACCTCAGTACCTCTGTTTGCTGAGGGCTGAAGCCCAGTGGCCAACCAGTCCCCACCACATCTCCCTACCAGTCCCACCAGGCGAGGCCAGCGCTGGCAGTGGTGACCACCAGGTACTTACACATGGCATCGTATTCTCGTTTTGGATGACAATCTGTCGGAGTAGGCGCCGCTCATAGTCCTGGTCCATGGTGAGGCAGGGTAGGTGTGGCTGCCAGCCAAGTCAATCTGCCAAGTTCAGCCAGCCAACGTAAGCCTGGGGCAAGAAGGGCAGGACAGCTCAGCACCAGTGGGCAGCGGCCCCCACTACCACCTGGTGACCACAGGACACTCCTCAGGAATGGCAAAGTTTCCCTATCAGGTGGTGGGGCCCTCCCTCCCAGGAGCCCAGAGCTCAGGCCTGGCCATACCCCAGAGGCCCTGGAAGTCAGAGGGAGATGCAACTGGGACAAACAGGACTCATCTCTGCTTCCTCTGAGGTTCCTTCTGACAGGAACCTTCACTTTTATCCTGGTTAGGGCAAGGCTGCCCCCATCCCTGCTCCCCAAGGGCTTGCCCCTGGTCCCCCACTCCTCCCACCCAGGCCCCCCTTCTCTCTCTGAGACTATAAGCCATCCATGTCCCTGCTCCTTAGCTCTGAGAGAGAGGCACAAAGCTGGGCAAGGGTTGGGGTGGTACCAGTAAGGGTTCCTCCTCAGCAGGGCAGCCTGTGTGTCCTGATGCACAATATGGGTGTGGGTCAATGCACTCCGTAGGAGTCTGCCCGAGCTGACTGGGCTCCAGGGCCAGGCAGACCAGGTTGTGGCCCAGAGAATTCGTTCTCCAGCTTCTACCCAGCTCCCACTAAGCTCCAACCAACCGGGGGAGGCCTCTCTGAGGAATAGGAGTGAAAGAGCACCAGCAAGAGGAGGCTAGGGGACAACATTCTAGAGAGGGAAGAACAAATCTGAGGAAGAAAAGGGCTGTGCACACTCCAGGATGGGGCAGAGGTGAGGAACAGCCTCAGAGAGAAGGATTTTTTTTTTTATCCTCACCCGAGGACATTTTGGCATTTATCTTCAGATAGAGCAGGAGTAAGAGAGGAAAAAGAGAGAGAGAGAGAAACATCTATGTGAGGAGACACATCGACTGGTTGCCACCCACATGACCCCAACCGGGACCGGGGACAAACTGCAACCAAGATTCGTGCCCTTAGCGGAAACTGAACCCAGGACTCTCTGGTCTGTGGGCCGACGCTCTAACCACTGAGCAAAATCTGCCAGGGCGAGAAGAGATGTTCTTTACAGCAGGGAATGGACCAGGATCCAGGGACCAACCAGACCCACAGCCACACCTCTGGCTGCTTTAAAAAAAAAATGTTTCCTCTGGCCAGTGGTTAGAGCATTGGCCTGCAGTCCGGAGAGACCCGGGTTCAATTCCCGCTAAGGGCGTGTACCTCGGTTACAGTTTGTCCCTGGCCTGGGTTGGTCGTGCGGGTAGCAGCCCCTCGATGTGTCCTTTTCATGTTGATGTTTCTTTCTCTCTCTCTCTCTCTCTGTCTCTCCCTCCCTCCCACCCATTCTATCTGAACAACAACAACAACAACAAAAAAAGGAAAAAATGTCCTTGGGTGAGGATAAAAAAGAAAATGTTTGCCAGTCCTGCCTCCTCTCAAGGCATTGCAGAGCATGCAGGGTAAAGCTGCTTTACAGAACAGAGCCTGGCACAGAAGGGGCTCAGCAGATTACAGCATCTTGCTGTGGGCCTGCTCTGCATCCCAGAACCCCCTTGCAGTCACTGTCCCTCTGCTCCTCTGGGTGGAGCCCAAAGGCCCACACAGTGAGATATTTAGGCAGGTCTGCCTAAGTTCATATCTTCAAATGATCTCTCTAATGAATTCCTGGGCCCATCATGGAGACCATGTACACTGTATGGCTTAAATACCAGCTCTAGCCTGCCATGTCCTTGTCCCTCATCTGTCATTACTGGACACATGGGGGTGCCTTGATGTGGCCCGTCCCAAAGCCAGATGCTTGGTCAAAACATAGGACATAGTCATTGGTCACTGCAGTGTGTGTTCCTGCCACATCCCACGTTAGCAGGCTTGCACTTTTTATCTCATGTTCCCCACGCATGGCATTGTGAACTGGGTGCCCATGCCCTCCTGCAAAGGAGGAAATGAAGACTGCGCAAGGGGCAGCATAACACCCCCAGTGTGCCCATGGTCCTCCCTCCACAGCCTGGGGCTCCTCTGAGCCTGTGCTAGCCCAGACCCCCAAGCCCGTGCTAGCTTAGAGCCCCAAGCCCCATTGTCCTCCACCTTGGCAGACAGCACACCTCCTGCTTTGATGAGAAAAGTGGGACCGTAGCAACCTCAGCCCCCCTCCATCTCGGGTAAACCTCTGGGAGCAGCTACTCCTTTCTTGGCTGTCTTCCTGCCCCCTCCAGCTACTCTGCTGTGGCAGAGATCCCCAGACACATTTTGGTTCTTTGTAGCCAAAGGGCAGTCTCCTGAAGGGGTTGATGATGGTTCCCTCCCTCCTTTGGACCTTCCTCACCTCTCTGGAGACTGGGGTCACATCTATAACCGGGTCCTCCTCCTGCCAGCTCAGCCCTGCCTAGCCCAAAGTCCACCCATTGGCTTGCCCCAGAATATACCTGCTTCCTCCCTCTGCCCCCTTCAGGCTCCCCAAAAAGCCTAGGCCTTGCCCAGCAACACCCCCATGTATGCCCTCACCACACTTGACTACTCACAGCCATACATGGAACACAAAATTGCTTGTGTCTGAGCGTCTGTCCTAGGTAGACACCTATTCAAAGGACAGTTTCCTAAGGGCAGGCCCAAATCATCTCGACCACTGCACTGTGCTGCATGCAAACCAGAACTGAGCTCCAGGTCCACCATGACTGAGCATCCTGTGTAGGGTTCACAGGGGGCTGGACACAATGAGCAGCCGTGGCTCCATTCTACTAAGTTCTGAACCTCAGTGGGCACTTTCCCAGATGTAGACCAGTTGGCTGCCCACCCCCCCAGCCCCCCACCCCCCCACTCTGCAGACCAAAAAGAAACAACAACAACAACAAAAAAACAAAATGAGGCTCAGAGAGGCTGGCTAACTTCTACCACTGGCCATTCCTGGGGCCTCATTTACCACCTGCCAGAGTGAGCCCTCAGGAGACAGGGTGGAGGCTGTGCTTTAGTCCTTGTGTTCAGCAGCTGCCCTTCTTCATGGCTTCGAAGTGTGCTTCAAGCTACCCGGCTACTGTTGCTAAAAGTGAACTGTTCCAGACAAATTTGGCAGCTCGTTCTCCTCAGTAATGGAGGCTCAGGGCCAGTGGGGTCTGAGGGAATGAGACGCCTCCCCAGGAAAAAACCTTAGGGGCCTCATTGCAGGGACTGGTCACACTGTGGGTGACAGCCACCTAACCCGCTTGGCCCAGATGAGCTCATTTCTCATGGAGACCACATCCATTCCCAGACCAACAGCACCACGTTAAGGCCAGCAGGGCTGGTCTGTTTCAGAACAGCAGGCCCCAGACAACAGCTTGGACGCATGCTGCACATCAGAAATTAAAAAAAGCCCAAAACACTGTAGTGATCTTAGAGACACAGAGTGGAAGACTGGTTTCTCAGGACTACTTAAGAAGCTAAATGCCAAATAGCTGGCTGTGTGCTGAATCTGAGTCCAGAGTAAATGTCCAGAGTGGTGTCCTGTCATCAGATCAGCTGCCCCTCTGCCCGCTACATTCTGATGTGGCTGCTTATAGAAACCCATGTGGTGGGCAGCGTCTTGCCACTTAAACATAGCTGCTGAGGGCCAGAGAGATTCCAGACTACCCACATGTGTAAGGTCTTAGTCCCTAGGACCTGTGGACATATCATCTCATGTAGCAAAAGGGACTTTGCAGATAGAATTAAGTCAAGGCCCCTGAGATGGGGGATGATCCTGGATTCCCCCAAAGGACCAGTGTCATCACAGGGACCTTGTAAGAGAGAGGTAGTAGGGTCAGAGTGAATGATGGAATAGGCTGCGATGCTGGCTGTGAAGATGGAGGAAAGGCCGAGAGCCAAGGATGCAGTGCCTCTAGAAGCTGGAAAAGGCCAGAAACTAATTTCCCCTGGAGCCTTTCGAAGAACCAAACCTGCCCACACTGGAGTGGAGCCCTGTTGGACTTTGACCTCCAGAACTATGAGATAAATTTGTGGTTTTTTTTGTTTGTTTTTATCCTCACCTGAGGACATTTTTCTGTATCTATCTTCTGATAGAGCAGGAGGGAGAGAGAACAAAAGAGAGAGAGAAACATCAATGCGAGAGAGACACATCTGCAACCCACATGACCCCAACTGGGCCGGGGACAAACTGCAACCAAGGTACGTGCCCTCAGCGGGAACTGAACCTGGGACTCTCTGGTCTGCGGGCCAACGCTCTAACTGCTGAGCCAAACTGGCCAAGGCGATAAATTTGTTTTAAGACACAAAGTTTGTAGTGACTTGTTATAGCAGCTGCAGGCCGCACACCAGCGCAGGGCAGAGGAAGGCAGTGATCATGTTATGGCCTTCCTTCATGGATCTTTCTGAGGGGGTGGCTGCTGAGAGGGTTTCTGAGATGCTTATGCTCAACACAGGCCTTTTCTCTGCCCAGCCCTAAATGGCCTACTGTGGACAGCCAACCAATCCTTTTGTCTCTCTTTTCTCTCCCCAACCCCCACTCCCCATGTCCCTGACTTCCAAGAGTCTGTCAGAGAGGCAGTGGGTCTTCATTCTGCCAACACACATATTTGCTGAGTGCCTGCCCAGAGGCCTGGGTAGGTGCCAGGGTTAAGCAGGCAAGGAGATGGACATGGTCCCACCCTCCTAAGCTCCTATTGTATCAGGGGCAGCAGGTCAGAAACATGGAACTAGGTAAAGAACAATGTCAGGTGGTGGCACCTGCTACCAGGAAGCACATTTAAAAAGTGGCTCCAACATCCAGCTGTCTAAGTAAGGGTAAGCTGGAGGAAGTGGTGGTGGTGGTGGTGGGGCACTGGATCCCACCACCCAGCCTGGGATGGTCTCTTCAAGACCAGACACCCACAGAGGGACCCATGAGGGTGCAGACATGGTAGAGGGGCTCTAGAACTAACTCCTCCCAGGCTCTGACCTGGTAAATGCGGGTAATGTCCCTGACAGGGTGAGCCTTCCTGCTGGCCAACAGGGATGCCACTCTTGTTTCTAAATCGACCTGCTACCCTCAGAAGCACCCCACCCCACACACCTCACCAGGTTTTCTTGATGAG